CTTCGTTAGGTATAATTTCAATTTATATTAAAAATTCGACCCATTTTATATTCTATATTTTGATTTGAATGAGCATTGCTCTGAACATGATGATACATCCTTCCGTTTATATTGAGGAAAATATATCCTGGCTTCTGTTTCTAGACTTATAGTACTCTTCTCGTTTCCCTTCTTTGCTAAACTTTAACGTCACTCTATGAACATTTAAAAGTAATACAGTGATAAAATGAATGAATAACACGATATATATAGCTTCTGCATTTCGCCAACAGAGATAGAATGCATGGATAGTGACGGGTGTTAACGATTAGAACAAGAATTCGTTATTTGATTATAAAATTATTTGGAATTAGCTTAGAATTAAATAATTTGACTCGTCAAGAATATCGATTTTACTAACATCTGTTTTATATGCAATAGAAAATATCAGTAACTAAGGATTAATTTTAAGATAGTTTTAATACACAATCATCATGACAAATTGAATTTTTGATGGAATATAGCTCACAAAATCCTCAATATATATAAATTAAATCAGATTATAACGAATTAAAGTTAATTCCGTATAGGTGAATTATCATCCAATCAATAGATTAGTAGCTGGAAGTATTCCAGTTATTTCACATCTTCATTTATATATGCCATTTTTTTCTAATGATTATCGTAGGGTCTCTTCTCCCGAAGTTATCCTGGAAATCCATTACATATAAGTATCCAGAATCGTATTGTTACACCAGGTTGCGGCTTGGCAGACTCTTCAACCTTGATTCTCTCCTGTGCTGGGTCTTGCATCTTACCAGAGCGTGTTTCAACCATCCTACAAATTTATATAAGAGAATAATGAGATAACTCTACTTTAAGTAGCCTCCAGAATAATTTATTTATTTCTCACATCAAAGAGAGCAGTGAAGTCACACAGTGTACCAAAAAATACAAATGGTGATTTTATAATACATAAATCTGTTTATAATACATATATTCTGTTTAATAAAAATAAATGAATATAAAATATAAATTTGAATTGAAAATATATGAAAATTAATATTAAAAATTAAAATAATTTAGGTGCATTAGCCATGATGCAACAATATCTTTATAACTAAAAAACCTTATTTTATCTCAAATTTGTTCATTTTATAGACTTTTTATATAAAATTATATGATTAGAGGTTAAAATCTGTAAAACATATTAAAAAAGAACTACATAATGGAGTAAAATGTTGCTAAAATTCGCGAAACATACAAAACTTAAATATTCAATATGATTCCTAGTCCCATTAAAACCTATTCAGAATCTAAGTATGACTACCCTATATATATATATATATATATATATATATATATATATATAGAAAGATGCTATTTAGAAATAGGAATACCTATAAAAAGAAGGAATTTCTGAAAGAGAGGAAACTAAATTTCCTGGTCTTTACTCTTATACACACAAACCTATAAATTAATAAAGTATTAAAACCGGGAAATTATTGAAGATGTAATTATTCAGAGTTATTTATTTTCATCATAAAAGACAAATTTCTACAATCGAAGAATCTACGATGAAAATGTTTTGAGAAGTCTTGATTCATCAATGGTGAACATTTACAGAGATTTCCTCCATTTGATTAACCAAATCTCTACACTTATTTTATCCGTCATGCTTATATATTATGCATATGCAATCAGAATAAACATGGAATAGCGATCTGGTGGAATAAATTGTCGAAATTCCTGACAAGCTTTCATCGCTAACTCGCAGAGCCTTCCCTAACCTCATTCTCATCCTCTTAATTCACTATTTGATCATAACTATCCATACATACATATACATAAGTATGTATTTAATTAAAAAGGCATATATTGGATCAAAATATCATACCATTGTTCATGCAAGGAGTAGAGCGTCATAACCAAAACTGGTTGAAATCGTTTTTAAAATAGAGCAATCCATAAATAAATCTTTAATTAAAAAGGCATATATTGGATCAATATAAGTATGTATATACATACATAGTTGTATATACATAAGAAATAAAACTGTTTAGCGTAAATTTAGGTTCTCTAAACAAAACATACCTTCTTTGTTCTAAATAGTTGCATTTCTTATATACATATATATATATGTGGTATTATAAGGTGGGAAGAGAAATAATCACACCACAAGTTGAAAGAGGGACCTAGACAACCAGAGAGAGAGAGACGGGACTGGTGCATCCAACCGGCCGTTCGTGTCGCACACCATTCCCAACTGTCTTAATAGTCCCGAGGTGTTAACTAACGGACCCCAGTGGTCGGCCCTTGGAATGTCGCTGGTGTCTCAATTGACCGGACTTTACCCTCCCGTCTCTCTCTGGGTTGTCTGTAGGTTGGCTTTATTATTCCTGGAAGAATAGATATTATGACATATATTTATTTATCAAGGTCACTGTGAATCAAATATATTTTAGATTTATTGTCTGAATCCCATTATACATGCTTAAAAGGTACAACCTTCTAAAATCATCGATGAGTATTTGTAAAAGAGACATTAGTGCTGAAGTTTTATTCCTTCCAATTCACTAATTGTATAAATTTGAACTATATTATAAGAATCGTAAAGATAGAGGCTGCCCGGTTGGCATTCAATGTTTTTCATAAAAAGATTTACTGGCAAAAGTGTCTCTTATTTGAAGAACTATATTATAAGAAGGAAAGAGCGCTGAACAATTCCATTTTCCACCTACAGATGGCGTTAGATGTTCTGTTAATAACTAGGAAGCTATAGTAATATAATACAGGCAAAACAATACTCACAATAGGGTAAGCAAATATAAACGGCAGTTACTATGACAACGAAGAAAACGTATTAGGTTAATAGAAATTTCATATTTGTGATATTTTGACATATGGGGCTTAGAGAAATTTTAATATCATAGTTGTATACAGGAAATGAATAAATGATTAACAAATTGTAATTAATATTTTAGTTTGATTCTTAAACCAACATTAAAATTTGAACAGGTCCGCACTTATACTGAACAATAGCAGCAATTAGAATACTAGTCTGATCAAAAGGTTTCGACACTTTGCTAATAAAATCCTGAAAACTCAATATATTTTCTCCCGGTTTGTGGCAAACGCAAGCGTTGCCCTTAGCTTGGAGACGTGCCAATTTTCAAAAATCACGCGCCACAACAGCGCGAGCAGCGGCTGTTCGAAGGGAAGCCATTTTGCCCGTACTTCGATTTCGTTAGTCACCGAAATGGAGGATCAACGAATTTGCATCAAGTTCTGTGTGAAAAACGGATTAAAGGGTGCCGAAATTATATGGATGTTGCAAACAGCCTACGGGGATGCCGTCATGAGCCGAAGCCGAGCTTTCGAGTGGTACAAGCGCTTCAAGGGGGGTCGGGAAGAGACCGCCGACAACGAGCGTTCCGGGAGACCGTCCACATCAACCACGTCTGAAAAAGTGGACAAGGTGTTGGAACTGGTGCGTGAAGACCGACGAATAAGGGAGGTCGCCGAAGAAGCAGGGATATCATTCGGGTCGACTCAATCGATAATGTAGGACATTTTGGGAGTGAGAAGACTCAACGCCGTTCTCGTTCGCAAAGATTTGACTTTTGATCAAAAGAACGCCCTGAAAGAAACGGCCAGTCTCAATCTCGAAGCGACAACCGACGACTTCGAATTGCTGAAGAGGGTCATTCAGGAGACGAAACATGGATTTACGGCTTTGATTCGGAAACTACCCAACAGGCATCGGAGTGGCGCTTCAAAAATGAGCCGAGACCAAAGAAAGCGAGAAAGGCTCCCAGCAAAGTCAAGGTCATGTTGACGGTGTTCTTCGACTACCAGGGCATCGTTCATCATGAATTTCAACAACAAGGCTCTACAATAACTGCTGACTCCTACCTGGGAGTTTTGAGGCGATTCAGGGAAGCGATCAGGCAGAAACGGTCGGAGCTTTGGAGGAGCAAGTCGTAGATTCTCCACTACGATAACGCGCCGGCGCACACAGCCCTCAAAATCTCGGAGTTCCTGCAGGACCACTCAACCTCTGTGTTCCTCCAACCCCCTGAAGTCCCGATTTGGCCCCCTGCGACCTCTTACTTTTTGGAAAGCTAAAAAAAAAAGTTAAAGGGTCGAAAATTTCAGAGCATAGAAGAGATCAAAGTGGAATCGAAGAAGGCCATGAAGGCGATCCCGAAAACAGATTACCAGAGGTGTTTTGCCGACTGGAAAAAAAAGGTGACTGAAGTGCATCACGGCCAACGGGGACTACTTTGAAGGGGACAATTTGAATTTGGTTGAATGATAAAGTTTTTTTTTAACTTACGAGCAAAGTGTCGAAACTTTTTATCAGAGTAGTATATATTGTAAGAAGAGCTCACGGAATTTAACTAACTTGCTCTAAATACTGAATCTATCCTGATATAAATAAAAAATACAATTGCAATAATAGATGAATACATGCATTATCAGAGAGCGTTATAGTTGATTAAACTGATGAAACCATTGATGATCACTGATTAGCCAATATTTTCCCATTTCAGTAAGGACAGTCGTAGACGTTTTGTTATCAAAGAAATGTATTGGACAGGTACATAATTATTTTGTATTTTTCCAATAAAACATTCATCCTTTTTTTCGAAACAAATTCGCCAATTCGATCACTACTTCTGAACATTTTAACGATTGCCGAATGGTCTTTAATGAAGTCTTTGTCCAACATTTTCATTAACAAGCTTTCGTCATCTTCTCCAACTATCAAGATTTTTTTATCTTCAGAATTCAAAATTTGATATTCAATCTCTTTCTTCAATGGTGTGGTATGTACAACCGGTCGAAAGAGGAAAAATATATACAGAACCAAGAAATGACAAGAGGAAGCCCAATGGAATAAATAGTAAAAGGAGATATTACGGTGAGTAAGATTTTTGTTAGCATTTTTTTTTTACAAATAAATTGAGGACACACATATGCTCTACGGTGGACAATCGTCGTTGACATCGCTTCCGAGTGAGGAAATTCATCGCTCTAGGGTGTGACATTTCGTCGCCCTAGAGTGGGGAGATCCATCATTCTGAAGTGAACTGACCCGACGTTCCGGGATGCAGGTACGTGACACTTAGTGGTGAGCCATTTATAGCTACCTATATAGACTTAACACTTATAAAACGATGTATTCGAGCGCCATCTACATTTAAAATTATAAACTATTTATAGAGAAAGTTTCTTTAAAAATTTTGTCTAGTTAAATACCTATTTTCCATTGCAGGAAGAACAATAGAAATTGTTTATTTTTAAAAAGAATCATACGCGCTATAATATTTCTTTAATTAAAAGACACTTCGGCCAGTAAATATTTTTTATAAAAAGATTTACTGGCCGAAATATATTTTATTTGAAGAAATATGAATGCCGGCCATGCAACCTCTTATCTTTGCGTCTAAAATAGTTTCGAATTTTGATAAAAGATGGCGCGCTAATGCATCATAATATAAATACTTATTTAACACTTTTATTTAATCAATATGGTATCAAGGGTTTCGTTTCTTTTCTTATTTCTTTTATTTCACAAGTTTTTGGGTCAACATGCCCTTTAACACTGAGTTCCTAAAGTACAACTTCACGCCGTGGTGCCTGAGGAGTGAAGTTGTATTTCAGGATCTCCATGTTGAAGGGTAAGCTTTATGAATAAAAGAAATAAGAAAAGAAACCCTTGTTACATTATTGATTAAATCAAAGTGTAAAATCAAGAAATAATCTATATTAAACCTCTTTAACAATAATTCCAATGTATTCCCACTGCCTATATAAGCAAAACAAGCTCAAATTAAGTAAAATTTATTAGAACAATAATACACCTATCCCCGATTTACACGGTACTTGTTTTACACGTTTTCGCTTTTACACGGTTTTCCAAATAAGTTTTTTTGTTGTTTTTATCGCACTATACTTATACTATATACTTATACCAGTACTTATACTAACGAAATACTATACGAAAAAATTGTAGAGCAATTGCCACATCTTCTTCTTCAACTGAAAAGAAGCGAAATATTTTGGCAAGTCATGGCTGGTTTGAAAGATTTGAAATAAAACATTCTTCTTTTTTTTTCGATTTACACGTTTTCTCAGGAACGTATCTACCGTGTAAATCGGGGGATAGGTGTATACAATTAGTAAAGAGTAATGATGAGCGGAAAAGTTTCAGATCATTGGACACTTATTTTTCCGTTCATCATTACTCTTCACAATTCATCCTTTCATACTTCATCCCTAAGAATAGAAATAATAGTTATTTCTCCTTAAAATAAATTATGATATTTTGTTCTGTAAAAAGAAACATTTGCGGTAAAACTTGTCAAACGTCGTTCTATATCATAAACTGCATTATATTGTATTATAAATTAACGTTATATAATATTTATGAACCGAAAAATATGTCTAGGGTAGCCTAGTGTACATGGCATCTGCCCGGTAGGCGAATATAAAATTCGTTTTTATGTATCAGATAATATATATATTTTGAAAGATATATCGTAACAAGGTTGAAAAGGAATAAATCACTAGTGTTATATAACTTTATATATTGAGAATAAAAAAGGCATATCCTGACCAGGAGTACATGTGCTTTTCAGAAGGCAGAGCGCCATCTGGTGGAACAGAAATCAACTATTCATTGATTTAACCTGTTCCCTGATATTTGGCCAACCCAATGTCTTGATAAATCAAGAAAAGCCACCCACGAACACGTTTCGCGCTGTTGGCGCTCGTCAGCGTGGAGTAGGTTGTACCATTGCGACCAAAAAGATTTTGGCCCAAGAGGCTTCTTGAGAAACCAAGAAATGGGTATTTAAGGCCAAATTTGCGTAAATACGCTTAACACATGAAAAAACAATAGAAAAAATATACCTAAAAATATATAAATCTCTACTATATTAATGTTACGATAAATTCCAAAAATAATTAAGAATTTTAATTAGATATAAAGGAATATGTAAAAAAAATAGCTAGAAGACACTATAGTGAAAATAGAAAGTGCTACACACAGAAGGAATGAAATAAAAAAACAAGGAATTTAGCTTAAAATTATATTCTTGTAGCGTGTAATTAATGATTAAAAGTTAGATGAAAAAAAAAGTTTAAAAATTAATTAAATTTAAATTTTCATTTATTTACACATTCAGGCTGCTTAAAGTCTGTGAATTCATGTTAAGTTTACTGGTATTCATCCAGTTCCTTCTACATGTAGCAATTTCTATATACTGAGTAAAATATACCAGGACTTCAGGGAAAATTATACACCTATCCCTCGATTTACACGGTAGATACGTTCCTGAGAAAAACGTGTAAATCGGGGGATAGGTGTACACAGAAATAAAAATAAAATACATTGACAGGTTAAAATATGTAGTCAGCACATAAGCTCGGGATTCCTCGTGAGATGTGCACACAGCGCATGTGTTCAATCACAGTGGCATTTAGTATAGTGCGATAAAAAAAACGTATTTGTAAAACTGTGTAAAAGCGAAAACGTGTGAAAAAGTACCGTGTAAATCGGGGGATAGGTGTATTTTTAAAGCAATCCACTCGCAGAATATGAATAAAACCGAAAGGTCTTAATAAAGGTTTTGTTTGTCGTGGATCATCAATAAATGTCACTATATATCAAATATCTTTCAGATTTATTGTCTGAATCCCGATATCATGCTAAAAAGTACAACTTCCTTAAGTTTTATCAATGAGTGTAAATTATCCTAAAATAAAATGATATCCATAAAGATTCTTCAACAATAAAACAGTGCTAGATTGTTTTTTGCTGAACCACCAAGTAAACGTAATACATATACAAACCATGATAGCCATGATTAATCAAGAAAGAGTATTTGAATAATTCTGAATAATTGAAAAATTAACGTTTAATTGAAATTTATTACAACAGATGGCGCAAGCCATCAAAACCTTTAATTGCATAATCAAAGGAGATGAGTTTCTCCTAATTTTCAACCTACCAAAAAACATTCCTTTCTCTCTCTCTCTCTCTCGAGCCTATATCATTACTAGCCGAATGACCCGGGCAACGCCCGTGTTTTACCCGATTGAATATTTTTATTCAAATACTATTTGTTATAATTATAAATTGGCGCCTTAAATAAATGCATATATTAGTTAATAACTATAGCCTATGTGCTTTATCTGTCTATGTACTGTTGGCTTCCGTAGGCGTCTCTTGCTGGGAAAAAGAAAGAGAGGATTCCATTTAGTTATTAACTAATATATGCATTTATTTAAGGAGCGACCCGCTCCAACACAATAGTTACAAAAACGAAAAAGCAAGTGGGGGGGCAAAGGTGGCGTGATCGTAGCCAACCAATAGGAGGGCGCCATTCCAAAAAAAAAAAAAAGCAAAGGGTGACAGAGTTGATTAGGAGATTAAGAATAACGCTCGTAACTGTATATAGAATATTTAATATAGAACTTCATTGCTCGATGCGAAAACTGAGCTAAAACATGTTGTTTGGATAATGAACTCAATTTTGGTTGAAGAAACCTAATAGTAGAGTTTCAATTTGCAGGTATTTTTAAGTGGTGGATATCTTACATATTGGTGCGAAGAAAAATAATCAAATAGACTTCCGAATTACTTTAAATATTTATTTAATTAGTTATAGGAAAGATTTAAAATAAAAGTTACTATGTACATGAGCCAAATCGATCCAGCAGTTAAAACAAGAGGGGAGAACTGAGTTTTTCCTCCTTCCACGTGGCGCCACTGTTTTCCCTGACCGGTCCGTCCAGTCTAGATAAGAGGGAATACCAGGAAACTCTGTCCTCCTGACAATATAAACATTAAAGTATATATAATAATAGATTCAAATATATATGAATATATACTGTACAGCCTACATCACGCTGATGGTCAACAGCCCGAAACGTGTTCGGGGATGGCTTTTCTTGATTTATCAAGATAATGGGTTGACAAAATATCAGGGAACAGGACAAATCAACGTTTAGTTGATTTCTGTTCCACTAGATAGTGCTCTACCATCTAAAAAAGCTAATGTGCTCGTGGTCAGGATTAGCCTTTTCGATTTTAATACCAACACCTGACCTTATTTATTTATTCTTATTTTTCACAAATGTATATATGAATGATTAACGCTTATTTTTGATCAAAATATTTATTATAACTCCCAATATTTCGATGAGGCAGTTCGCCTATCTTTCTCAGGGAATTCGAACCTTGTAAACATTCACGTGATGTACGAGTGGTGAGTGTTTGTATAAAGTAGATTGGTATGGTCAAACTGTTCAATGGGAATATGATTATTTCCATTAAATTATATTATTAAAATACTATTGTATATATTCTATATATTACTATTTCTGTTTTATCTGTAGGTATGATTGGGGTATAGCTATTCTTCTATTTATGCTAATTTTGTCCTCTATAGATGCCCAGCTCTCCAGAAATAATTTTGCGTGCTTATCCTGTAGGTATATATGTATCTGTCGTGATCGAATGGAAAGGTGCAACCGTTATGCATGTAAGCTTCAAAAAGAATTAGTTCCAGCCAAGTGAGCGCGCACGCGGCGTGCCGTAGCATTCGCTCGCGAGGGCTCCCACTTTTATTTTGTACAGTGTATTTATAGATGGATGAATTTGTATTTATAATTTAACACAAAATTCAACAAGGTCCTCCCATTAATTTTTACATT